CTCATTACATAAGAAACACTTTTTTGCTTCTAACTGTTTGATTTCATCTAAATCTGACATAATCATATCTTTTGGTTTTTTCATTTGTTCCATTACATCGTCTCTAATATCGTTTAATGTTTCACAAAATTTATCAATACAATCTTCGCCTCTGTATAAAAATGGTTTCATTTCTCCACTATAAGCATTAACAAGGTTAAGCATATAACCGCTGGGTTTATGGTTCTGGTAGGTTCCGCGAGGCGCGCAACCTAGGGCTTCGCCGTAGGTTCCCTTTGGTTGCCCAAGAGGCGTTGCCTCGTAAGTCCCTTTGATACCATCTGATGTTTCTGTTGTTAAACATTCAAAATCACCGTAAATAACAAATGGTGCTTTCAGTTTCTGTAAAATGCTTTTCAAACTTCATTGTTGTCCCTTCTTCTGGCATTTCTGTGTGTTGAATTTCATTTGCCATACAACCTTTTATTAAGTGAGTTTTTCTGATTGAAAACCGTGCTGACAGTAAATACAATGAAATATCTTTGTTTTGTGATTGTTGGTTTGATTACCCATTAACCTATTATAATCTTTTATTAAAACATAATGTTCGTTGTTGTTTTGTTCAATTCGTAACAAATTAATATGACAAGATGGTCTTTCAATTTTTGTTATTCTGTCTGCTCTGATGGTTTGGTTCTCATCTTCAACATAAACATTAACTGATATAGATTTGTTGTTGATTTCTTCAAAATGGTCTATGTCATCATTGGATGCTGGAAAATTTACACCATCCCATTGAATTAGACTTTCAGTAGTTATTAATTGTAAACGCTTCGCGTTGCCCGCCTCGGCCCAGCATAGTTTGAGGGAAGGGTCAGGAACACCGAAATCCAGTGTTGGGAAGGACCAGTTCGCCCGTGCTAGTTCGATGTAGCCGTCCTGCTCGGAAGGTTTGAAATCCAAAACCAAGACTGTCAGCCTGGGCTGAGCTGCTTGGGCAGCCGGACTGGGGGGCTGGGGCACGTCAGACAGGCTTAGTAGCTGGCGTAGCTTGAGACCAGTCTCAGACACGTGAGACTGGTCGTTGGCCTGAGGCCAGTCTCAGACACGTTAGACAAACCTGACCTTGGCACGCTGGGCTGAGCCTGCTGGTGCCAGCCAGCCTAGTGGCTGGCATGCCCTGAGATGCGCCGGGGCCTGGGCTGCTGAGCTGTGCTTGGGGGCCTGTTTCATACACACTTGGGCCTGAGGCTGGGTGGCGAGTTGCTGGCTGGGCTGGGCCTGAGGCCAGTCGCAGACACGTAAGACACGCCAGCAGGCGGGCTGAGGGACTGGGCCTGAGGCTAGTCTGAGGCTGGCATACTTTGAGATCTCAGGCTGCGCCGAAGGGGCTGGGCCTGCTGGATGACTTGGGGCCAGACGCAAGCAGGAGGTCGACCTGGCCAGCCTGGGCTGAGCTGCTTGGGCAGCCGGACTGAGGGGCTGGGGCACGTCAGACAGGCCCAGTAGCTGGCATAGCTTGAGAACACGTGAGCCTGGTCGTTGACCTGAGGCCAGTCTCAGACACGTTGGACAAACATGGCACGCTGGGCTGAGCCTGCTGGCGGGCTGGGAGCCTAGTGGCTGGCATGCCCTGAGATGCGCCGGGGCCTGGGCTGGCAGGCTTGCTGGATGACTTGGGGCCGTGGTTGCTGTGTCAGGCAAGCTTGGGCCTGAGGCTGGTTGGGCTGGGCCGGGTTGAGTCAGACAGGCCTGGCCAGCAGCAGATCATGCTTTTCAGGACATTGTCAGCACATTTTCGTCAAAAATAGACCCATAAAATTTCAAGGCCGGCTGGACAGGATTTTGGGCCAGCTGACATGGGTGCGGGGGGGAAGGGGGGGGGGGGGGGCGAGAGGGGGGCGGCGCCTTTGGCCCTTTGGGGCCGAAGCGAGTTTCTTGTAGTGTCTCATATGTTGTGGATGGTCTTTCTTGAAGACTTCATAGAATTTACATAAAGCACAATATTTAAAACATAATTCATCATCATTTTGAATGTTGATACACGCTTTTTTCTTTGAAATCCATTCTGGTAGCTCCATATATTTACCTGCTCTGTTTGGATTGTATTTATCGTAGTGGATGTTTATTTTATGGACTTTGTTTATGATAAAACCTGACCTTGTTAGTTCTGAATTTTCAATTTGTAATTCAATGTCTTTAGGCATAATCTCCAGTGCCTTGTTCAAATCAGCAATGTTTAGAATGTTGTATCTCCTGCTCCTCATTGTAAATTTTGTGGGTGCGTCTGTTTCGTGGTGGTCAAAAAGGACATCAACATCAATAATAATTTTCATTGATTTTTCCTTTTCAAGATATTCTGATAGTCTCTTTTCTTGCCATTTTAAATATGTAAATCCTTTGTATCCCTTGAATGGTATGTTGGTTATTGAATATGTGTTGGCGTATCGTTTCAATGCTGAAAATGTCTCTGATGTTTTCGCTCCTGCTCTAATCCTGTACTTCTGGATTGTTTTAATGCCTCTCATTGTGTTTGATGCTTTTTTTAGAAGATTAAATCGTTTGAAACCTTGTGTGTTGCTGACTTGCTTGAGTTTGTTTTGAAGTGATGTTGATAATGGTTTGTCTTTGTTATAATAATATTCTTTGTTGTTAATGATTAGTTTTTTCAATGGTTTGTTATTCTTACCTGTTTTTATTTGACCTTCATTATTGGATATTAGATATTCAATTACTGAGCCTGTGCTGTATTCCCCTGCCATTTCTCTATACTATATATTGTAATATTTCTTTAAGTCTTTTTGGGTGGGGGTTTTGTTGGTGGGTCTGGTTTTTGTGGGTTTGGGTTCAATGTTGAAATATGGGTTTGAGGATGAGTTTGAAACTGAAACTGATGAAGTTGATGAGATTGTTGATTTTGGGGGAGTTGTGAAATAGTGGATTGTGCCATTGTGTCGCCTCTGTCTTGCGCCAAGTCAGACACAATGAAACAAACATCATACTGATTGAATACAGATGTTGAAGTGGTATGATACAGTCATCATTTGCGGTTGATTTCAACACTGTTTGGAAATGATACTTTCATCATAATGATGAAAAGGTCATTGTTTCAACTGATGATAAGTTTATCATAATGATTAGTTTATCATTGTGGCAAATAATGATGGTTTCATCATCGTTGTTGTGCGTGTCATCTTGGCGGGAAACCCAAGGTGGTTAAACCCTAAACAACCCCTACATTAGTTTTAAACCCTCAACCCTAAACAATGCCAAAATGTTCAACCCTAAACAAGTGAACACTTGTATCCCCCAGAAAGCCGTAAAATGGTCTGAAACCTGAACCTTGAAAATGTTAAAAATTTTAGACTGTTCTTAAATGAAAAAATTGTAAAAAATGTTGAGAAAAATAGTTAAAAGAGTATTTAGTATAGAGTATATGGAGAAACATAATATAACAAATGAAAATGGAACTAAACATAAAAAATATGAATGTCCTTGCTGTAAAATAATGATAGGACTTCATAATAAAGCGAGAGGACAATTTAATAACTGTTAAGGAAGAAACAAGGACAGAAAAACCAAAGACAGAAAAACAATTAAATGTAGAACCAGTTAATGATATTTTTGAACGGCTTGAATATATGACAATGATTGGTGGTGATTGTTTTTAATGATATTATTTCAATATAATATGATTAAAACTATTTTTTTATAGAGTTAGTCATCTGTTGCAGTACTATTTTTTGGGGTGAGGTTTTTGACAACTGAATAAGGTTAAACATTACTCTTTTTCAGAAATTTTGAAATTATGGGGTTTTTTTAAAACGCATGAGGCGATGTTGCTGACCTCATTGAAAACTTAAAAAAAGTGAATAAGGTTGCCATTGCTTGACTTATTGAAAACGAAAAAATTGTAAATAATTTAGTCCCCAGAAACCCCCTTGAAAAAGAGGATAGAGCAAATTTTGAGGATAAAACAGAACAGGTGTGATAGGAGGTTGAGAGGCAATAGGGTAAAATGATACTCCCAATGTCAAAACCCTGCCCCCAGAGCCCCCCTTTTAACTATTTTTTTTGGGGGGGGGGGGGTGGCGACCGAAAAACCATGCGTATTTGACGTGTCCCGGGGGGGTTATCCTCTATCCTCTCTTAGGTATCCAATAGTCCTCTCTTAGGTATCCGACACGCCGAGCAATGTCGGCGGATTTCTTTTTTGCAGAATGCTCCGAGTATTTACCTTTCTTAAGGTTGGTTGACATTTCCATTGCTTTACATCAGTTCTTCGGCCAACTGCTGCTCGGTGCTGTTCAATCGGCTGCGTTTTTAACAATGGACATCCAACGTGCTTTGCACGGGGCCCGAAATGTAAGTACAAGCGTGCACATGTGCCTACGCAACATGGGATTGCAAGCAAGTCCAGCAACATGGAAAACATGTCTATCAGCAACATAAGGCACCACATGTAGACAAAGTGCAACACAGGCTCGGCAAACGCAACACCGACACTGGTGTTCAAGACAGCTGTCGAAGCCTTTCCTAGCCTGGAAAGTGGCCAGCCAGGGTTTGCTAGGCGGAAGCCCAACACACATATATGCCAGGCTGAATGTAGATAGCATAGCCCCCTTCATGTGGGTAAGTAAAATGGATGACTAAACCAACATGGTACCATCCTGTCCCCTAACATGGAAATAATCAGAGGGTGTCTCTTATAGGAAAATTGTCTTCCAGAACCCGGTCCCATGTGTGTGGACAGCGTAGCTCTGTCAGATGCCTGCGAAACAAGGCTCTCATCTCATGTGAACATCATGTAAACCAAACAAAAACAACATAAATTGACACGTAGCAACCCGGATGTTACGTCCAAAAAGGAGAAAGGCATCGTTTTTTTTAAACAGAGGCTCTGAGAATAGATTCCCATGCTTTTCATTGCAATCTTCATCTGAATGTTGACTTGGAGGCTTGCGCTTGGTTCCGACGTCAGTTTTTTTTTGGGATGCAAGCGCCAGAGCTTGGGCGCGCAGGCCTCCATTTACTGACTACGTGGGCACTCGGTGGTATCGAGCTCCCGAGTGCCTGTTGCGAGATCGGGGCTACTCCTCCCCAGTGGTGACTCGCCTGGATTATGGAACCCATTTTGGCCTGGTGATGTGGAGGGGGACGCCGCATCATTTCGGTTGCGGTTGACACGGCCCCCCCTCAGTCATGCAAGTGACACTTTGAGGCAGGAAGCGCGAAACAAGCCGAAAACGAGCCACAGCGAGGATGTATGGGGCTCCGGCCTGGTTTTCGCAGAGCTCCTGCGCGGATCCCCGATCTTCATGGGCAGCTCGAGCATCGACCAGCTCTACAAGATTTTCGCGGCCGGGGCACCCAGCCCAGGCAGCTTCAGCCTTTCGGGGCAGGCCGCGGCTTCGGTGAGCCCACTCTTTACATTGGTTCCTTGAGGTGGCAGGGCGTAAATTCTTGCCATGGCTTCTTGTCTCCCACGGTGTGGCACAGGTTCTGGGGCAGCCCATCTCCGACTGGCCGGCGCCGGCCTCAAGCCTTTTCTCTCGCCCCTGCACACGCCGCACTTGCCTCCCTGACAACCCTCCAAGCCCTAAACACACATCCCCTGATGCCCAAATCTTGGCCACCCCATGTGGGTTGTCCCTAATTTAATGTGTCTGGGTCTGCGCCATTCTGTGTCTGCGTCATTCTGTGTCTGTGTCATTCTGTGTTTGCGTGCGTGCGTGCGTGCGTGCGTGCGTTGCGTGCGTGCGTGCGTGCGTGCGTGCGTGCGTGCGTGCGTGCGTGCGTGCGTGCGTGCGTGCGTGCGTGCGTGCGTGCGTGCGTGCGTGCGTGCGTGCGTGCGTGCGTGCGTGCGTGCGTGCGTGCGTGCGTGCGTGCGTGCGTGCGTGCGTGCGTGCGTGCGTGCGTGCGTGCGTGCGTGCGTGCGTGCGTGCGTGCGTGCGTGCGTGCGTGCGTGCGTGCGTGCGTGCGTGCGTGCGTGCGTGCGTGCGTGCGTGCGTGCGTGCGTTCGTGGGTGGGTGGGTGGGTGGGTGGGTGCGTGTGTGTGTGTGTGTGTGTGTGTGTGTGTGTGTGTGTGTGAGTGTCAGTGTCAGTGTCAGTGTCAGTGTCAGTGTCAGTGTCAGTGTCAGTGTCAGTTGCAGTGTCAGTGTCAGTGTTTGTGCTTGCGGGTGTTTTTTTATTGGATCACACTTCCCCGTTTAGTCCATTTTGCAATCCATCCCCAGTGTAACTCAAAGAACGGGTTAGAGCCCCGAATCGCCTAAAATCAATCCCATATACTAGAAATTACTTTCTTGTTTGGGACCCACCAAAAAAAAGAGATGTGACTTTCCTCTTTGCTTCCCGTGAAAAACCACAGGACAGGGGGTACCAACGCCAAACAAGGTGGGGAGCCGCCCATGCATACATATATACATATACATGTCTATCTATATGTGTATATATATATATATGTATGTCTATGATGTATATATATATATGAACATATTTATAGATATGTATATCTATATGTACAAGTATGTATATATGTGTATCTATATCTCGCTGCTGGGGATGTGCTTTCCGGGAACCTCCGCCCAGGACTTCGCTCGCCTGGCGGAGGCCTGCCGTTTCCGGGCCACCGCCACGGGCAGCGGCTTGCCGCCGGGGCCCTCGGAAGGGGGGGGAAACGGAGGCGCGGTGTCGTGTTTTGTGCGAACCCTGGTGGAAGGAAAACTCGAGGGAAGCCACACGCACGCAGACACATACAAACACACACAAACATATTATATATATATATATATATGGTTTTATTTGTTGGTTCTTTTTTTGAGGCAAACCTATTTGTCGCGCCCAGACGTGGGACAGGGCGCGCTTCCTCTCTCAGACTCGTGAACCCGGGTTGGACTCTATGGGTTCTAGAAGGCTTGCCCAATCATGCGTGTGCATACTCACTAAGTTTTCCACCAGACCGAAGTGACGTTTTAGCAGGGAGTGGAGATAATACTTCCAGTTACTAGTTGGACAGCAGGTGGATACTTGAAGAACACTTTTAGGGGAACCTCTCAAACAGCATAGCCGTGCATGTCAAGGTTCTACTGCCCTCGCCAAACCATTAAGTGAGCAGTTGGTTGCTGTTACTCGGGTGGTCTTTTGTGGCATTTCCTCTCTTCCAGAAAGCCCCTCTTTTATCATGACAATAATTCAAGGGTCATCAATCAGGGGCAAGGTTGGCAACCTTTGTTTGACCCAGACCCACCTCAGCTTGTGCAACTGAAAGTCCAAGTTCCAATCGGCAGAGGGTAATTAGGACGCTTACAAGGCAAGGCGCAGGATTGTTTCTTGATGAAAGCCCCCCGGCAAGTGGACCGTTTCGTGTCCAAGCAAACCCAACTTCTGGGCTGGGGTTCTTGGACCCCTTGTCCGAGAAAAAAGAAGAAGACATGTTATGACCATTCTTATTTACCAGCCTGCTCCACGTTGGCTTCGTGTTCCTTGCCCCCCTTTTGGGAAGACCGAACGTGTTGGGCAAGTGATTTCGGCAAGGTAAGGCTGTCACGCATGTCATGGCTGGGATTGTGGGCGTTTCTGTGGCCTAGATTCAGCTCGGGGTTGCGCTTGTTTGCTCTTCCCGAGTGGGAAGGTTGATGCCCCAGAAAGGCGGTCACTCTGATTCGGTCGCTCGTGCAAACGATTCCCCCGAGCTCAGGACTGTGCTGCCGCGGGCATCCAGCCGTGTGCTGGCCGGAGATGATTTTCTTTTTTGCCTTGGGGGTCTCGTTTTTGCCAGCCTCATCCAAGTTACCAGTGGCATGCTGAGCGCCCTGTGTGCAAGTGCAAGTGTCCTTTTTGGGCCATTGGGCCTTTGGCCTTGCAGCCAGCCTTGAGAGAGGGCATGCCGAGGTGTGGTGGCCCTCCTCTCGGAGATCTTGATGCTGAACCCTAGGCGCAGGCCTATGGCACGGAAGGCGGGGCATTGGGGAGGCCTCCATTCCGTATTTGCGCGGAAGACGTGGTTTTTGACGGGGAACGTTGGAAGGGTCGCTTGTTTCAACAGGGGCTGCCAAGCAGCCTTGAAACACTTGTTACATGCCACTTCTCAATTGCTTGACGGTCCTTCCCAGGCACTTGAACCACGCTCGCTCCGACCAGGTCTTGGAGCACGCCTACTTCAACTCCCTGCCGCCTTTTGATCCTGACCGGCTCGACACGGCCCGGTCTTCTGCCGCTCGGCGCTCGCAACTTTCAAATCTGCCCAAGGGGCCCTGGTCCACATCCCTAGGAATGAGAAGCACTGAGGTTCCCCGGGTGAAGGGAGGGCATAGAATTCCATCTCTTGGTGAGGGAAGGGAACGGCTCCAAAATTACTGCCAAGAGCGCCCCTGACCGCGCCCGACCAATCCAGGCTTCCCCTGCTGAGGCATCTGCCATGGGGCGCAGCGACTCGCGAAACTCCTTCCAGATGAACGATGTGGGGCAGGCGCGCCGGTTTGAACGCGCAATGCCGCCGCGTTGGATCAGGAGTCATGAGTCAAATGAGGGGTCCCTACATGTGCCCCTTTGCGACGCTTGAACCGTGTAAAACTTTTGGGCCAAGCTGGATTGAGTTTCCTATGAAAGTGGGAAACCTGTTGATGTTGGTTGCAGAGGGGCTTTTTGTGCCTCATAAATCGGCTTGCTGGTGTCTCACTTAGGCTCCGCTGACGGCTTCGGATGGCAGGGTGCAGGCCTGTCTCAATCAAGTCCGCTCCGGATGCTTTCGATGGCTGCCGCCTTTGGGACCATTTGTGGACTCCAAGTAACGGTTGCGGAACATGTTGTTGGGCCACTGTCTGTGATGGCAAGGGGGTCCCACTTCGAAGCATAGTCTATTTAGGCATGGCAGAACGGGTCATCTACTGCAACCACAGGACTCTGTCTTCCATCCTGCTATGCTGTTTTTTAAAACACTCTGTTGACTTGGTTCCCCCCCCCCGCCCAACAAAAACAGGCGAACGGTTGGGGGCCGAAAAGCACTGGTCTCCCTGCAGCCATGGGCTAGCTTCTGTGATACCAACTGAATCCCTTCAAAGTGATAACGTAGCCACAGGGATGGAAATCTCACTTTGGTATCAGAAAAAATATTTGTGATACTTGCGATGGTTTTTACGACCTCCTGTTTGGGGCTTCCTCCGTGGGAAACCACCTACTGCTTGAGCACCTACACCGGGGAGAAAGTAGATGGCGCGATTTTCTTTCTGTGGGCCGGGGGTAAGTGACCATGGGGGGAACTTGTGGCGTCAAGCCACGGCCACGCAAGCGCCATTTCGCTGCGAGGCCTCCAGACCTGAGACGCCCCAGGCGCCGCCACCGCCGCCGCCGATGACCCAGGCCAAGAGTGAGGCCGGCTGGGGCGCACCGTTTGGTCGGTTGGGGCGGTTTGTAAAGGGCAGCGGAAAAGCAGAAAGGACACCAGTCATTTTTGACGGTCCCCTATTTTGAGGCACCCCAGTATACCCCTGGTTGGTTTGGGGACGGCACATGTTTGAAGGGAAACGGATCGCTCATGGTTTTGTTGGGTCCCCTCTCATAGTCCACCAAGCGGAAGAACTTGCGGTCACTTTTTTTTTCTTCTCGGAGGTAGTATTCAGTTGCGGGAGTGGGGCTGTGCAAGCCCACGGGGCTCCTTTCTAGGGGCCAAGTAAGGGACACTGAGGGTTGCTCAGGGAGTTGCAGGGAAGCTTGGATGCAACGCACGAGATGGGTTTGGGGATGGTCGTGGTTGCTGCGCCTGGGTCGCTCTAGGTCGCCAGTGTTCGCAACCTCTCCAGGTTTGTGTGGATGATGTGGACCTTGATGCGGAGCTTGATAAGCCCCTTGGCCAAGGGGGCGAGCTGAGTAGACCATTGCTGTTTCCGTTGACAGCGACTTTTGCCAAGACGCCAGCCGTGAAATGAGAGACAAGACCCGGTGTTTGCACTGAAGCATTCGTTCAAATCCTTTGGGCTCAAAAAAGCGACCTTCGTCAATCCTGGCTTCCAGCCCGCAGCTCTTCCACAGAAATTCCAAAGCGACAAGTCACATCTCCGGGCGTTGGCCAAGGATTCTGGGCGACTCTCCACCGGAGGCTGCGGCTGGCCCTTGCTCCGAAACGGCTTGCACAAACCTCATAGGGCTTTCCAAGTTCTTGGCAAGTGTTGCACCGTTTTGGGACATTTGAGGTGTACCCCTAGGGTGCTAATTTGCACCTTGGAATCTGCAGGTTAGGCAGTTAATTTGTGCGTGTCTTAGGCGGTTGGCTTCTAGAGGTTGCAATTTCCGGGTCGCCTTTCTGCCAAGGCACCTTCATCCGGCTTTCTCACACACCCTTGAGGTGGCAAAGCTCGTAGTCAACAACATCTCGTACCAAAAAACAAGCTGAGGCATGGCAAAAAGTGACTCTTGCAATTGGGACCATTGATCTTCCCACGGCTCCCCAATGCTATGACTCTAAAACACCGTTTGGGTATGTCAAAGCAGGTGGAGCAACAGACAAAACGCACACGCAAGAGCCAGGCGGAGCCCTTGCTTGCCAGCGCGGAGGTCTTCCCGCTGCGCGGCGGAAGCACCGACGCCCGGCCGCGATGCGGATTTCTGGGGCATCTAAGCATCTCTTAAGATTTTAGGGTAGACATGGTGTGCAACATGCGGAACATCATGATGCATCTGAACATATTTTGTTTTGGTGTGCCCTGGGATTGGGCCAAGATTCGTCTCCGGCCAGGCTCCCTTTGGCTGACTCAGGTGACTGAGTTGGCCTGGCTGGCTCACTTGCCCAAAGCGAATCGACCTGTGACCTTTTGGTTTTTCCAGCTTGTGTCAAGGTTGTGCAGGTTAAGGCCTTTGTTGCAGGTTTTTTGGGCTGCGGATGGTCTTGACTTGTGAGGACAGCTTCCTCCTGGAACCCGAGGGCACGCCCTTGCCGGAGCACGACCTGGAAGGTGCGGGACGCATGTGGGTCTATTGAAGTGACACCCTCGAAACTGCCCTTTGAATGGTTTGAAGGTAAGCATTCAAGTATTGTCTAGAGCACATCACATGTTCTCCGCTATCCAACCCTCTCTTGCACCAATCAGATGTACAGAAGTATACCAAAGCAGCATGACACAAGACCGGCCTCGCATGAAATCCGGAGTGCCGCTGCATTCAGGCGACCGGGAGCGGCGAGGTGGGCGGGGGCAGGGGGGAGGGGGGACTGTGGGTTATCATCAGCTTCCCCTTGGCCAGGAAAGTTTTTGCAAGGTCCAAGGTGGTGCGTCAAAGAGCTCGGGCAACCCTCAGGAATTGCAAAGCAGAGGCAGACTTTTTCCACACCGCGACTGAGGTGAGAGCAGGTGCCCAGTCGACCTAACCCTTGGCCCAGCCAGGGGGTGCCTCCCTTTTGATTTGTTTGAAAGCTCCCTTTCGGAGCACAGCATTTTAATTCCAGCACCACGTGCTTTTTCATAGCAAAAAGCAGGTGATGTGCACCTCACTTGCGGACACTTGGTCCTTCTGAGAGCCTCAGTGGGCCGCCACGGAAGCACCAGACTTACATCGAACGCTTAATGATATTGTAGACTCTGCTAGCTTTCAACTTCGCGCGAGCATCCAAATCAAGTCACATGATGCGTCAACAACCTACTTTGAAGCGGAGTAGGATTTACTTTGTGTGGATGGTAGTCAATTCTGTGTCAGTTCATGAGAATTCCTTTGAAGGGCGCAGGCACCATACGTGAGTTGAAGGCTGCTCACTTCATGCAGCTGTGCCTTGAAAGGGCCTCCCAGTCTTAGGCCCATTTGGCACATAGCTTCTTGCACTGCCCGATCCCAAGAACCGCCGCCCTGCCGTGGAGCGCGTCCCTGATCCAAGCAAGCTATAGATATATCCAGGATCCATGTTCTGTTTTTGTTCGTTTGTTTGGCTTTGTTTTGGAAGAAGGCTCCCGGGTCCCTACCTGCCAGGCTTTCCAGAGATCCCGCCCCTGCACGTACACGCCATCTCCCGGGCAGCTTCGCCAGACTCCCGGGGCCCGGGGCCAAGAACGGAGCCCAGCAACGATAATTGACGTGAGAGGAATGTATTTCCTGATTTCCCACTGGGAAGCAGCACCTGTCTAGGCAGCCCTTAGCTCATGTCGACCTCCGTGACCTCTCAAGAGTGAAGCTTCTGGCCTTCCAATGCAGGCGACATCATGGACGCGCTGTTGAATGACCTTGCGGACTTGGGCGTAGGCCTGGCCCCTCGCGGGTTGTAAAAGGCCTCTCGTGACCTCAAAATGAATGCAGTTGATTGATCAGGCGATGAGCTGCCAAGCTCCGCGCGCCAGCCCCCGCCGCCACCGGTGGGGCGGCCCAGCCGGCAGGGAAGGGCGGGGGTTCCCGGGTCCGGACGTGGGCAAGTCACAAGCGCAGTGTTGAGCCCGGTAGCCTACAGGATCTGAGGAGATAACCCGTTCCTACTGCCACGATTTTGGGTGACGGGATCCCCTTGACGAATGCAATGGTAAACTGGTCAAACGACCATACTCACCGAAGCAGAGGACCCAGCAGTAAGCATATTTGGCAAGCCTCACAAGCAGGAGGTGCCACAAGTCGCCAGCCTCAGCTTATACAGGTCTTTAGGTTGAAGCCAGCCATGTTTGCCGGTGCCAAACATTGATTGCGGAAGCAGTGACAGTTGTTTGCCATAGCCACGTGCCACGTGAGCAAGGCGGTGCCGAGCCAGGGAATTGTCAAATGCCTGCTAGCTTCAAAGCCTCTGTTGTCATGAGCCATTCCAATGGCCTTGGCTGAAACCAGCGACTGGGTACGTGTGTCGGGGCGCATTGAAGATTACCCAATATAGTATGACTACGGTGGCCATCGCATGTGCACATACATGCGCGCAAACACACGCACACACACATGTATATGTATTATGTATTTGTGTGTTTTTGTATTTGTGTATTTATGTATGTATGTATTTATGCATTTATGTATGTATATATATACCATGCGCACACGCACACACATATCCTATATATATATATGTACAATACACACCTATATCTGTATAACAATGCATGAGATATTACATTGCGTATGTAAACAACATATATCTATATAGCAGTACGTGACATATTGTATTGCGCGTGTACAGCAAGCATCATGCACATGTGCATGTAAGCATGTGTGCGTAAGCATGTCTTTGCTACCTTTGTTTAATTTGCAGCACACATAGATGTTTAATTGTCTATGATTGCATCCGGCTATTTACCCTGTGTGTATTTTACCTGAATGTTTCTTCTCATCACCTGCAATGCCATTCGCTTCCCATCCGCTTTGCACTCTGTGCCCTTGCCAGCCCCCCTTCGGTGCCGAGACCGAGAAGGCACGGGGCCTGAGCCCCCGAAATCTGTTTGGAGAATATCCGGGGATTGGTTTTGTGGGAAGGGCCAGGGACTGGTGAATTTAAAGCCGCAGTTTGGCTGCCCTCTCCCCCAAGCGTGTCTCTTTCTGGGGGCCGTTAGCCCATCAAGTTTCTTGTGAATATTTTTTGTGGTGTGGCGCCTTGGTCTCTGTTCAGCCCCCCTCAGGCTAGGCGCCTGCCGCCCGCCGAATGCACCTCCATTTTTGGTGCCTCTTAGCTTTCCCCAAACGAGGTGGCTGCGCGTTTGTTGGGCCCTGCAAAGGGTGGTACGACTCCGAGGAAGGGGGGTCAATGCCTTGCAATGATGGCCGCCTCTGCAGGAGATGCCATGGAGTGCCGAGGAGGGCATGGAGCTGCGACGGATTGCGGCTTGGAAAGACGATTCGAAGGTCCAAGACGGGGCGGATGTGGCGGGGGAGTTGGTTGTGTCTTTGTGTCTATGTGTTTTGCATCTCCCTTCCTCTCGGATCACAACCCGGCCGAGAGCTTTCCGTTTTTCTCACGCGTCTTAGGTGAAGCGCATTGTACGCGCTGGGAATTCAGACAAGGAGCAGATCTGGCTGGAGGCCGCGCAACGTATGGGGGTGGGCCTGTTAGAAGGAGTTGTGAATTTGCCAATCGAAAAACGGGAGCACCCCGCCAAAATTCCAGAGAATCTGTTGAGCGAAGGGGCGGGTGGAACTCAAGCTCTTCCTTCATAGAAGGGGCGGGCGACTTGCAGGATGTAGGGTGCCACGTGAGCCTTTCTCCTGAAGAGCATCATCTTTTCATGGCGTGCCGAGTCCACATCGGCCATGAAGACACCGGTGGCAACTCCGGCAGGTGAGTCACGAGATGGGAGGACGACGAGCCCCACGGGACTGCAAGCTTCAATACGCCAGGGACTACAAAGCCGCAGCTTGCAAGCAGCCAAGCACGCTTTGGCACTGGCCCAATGGGAGCCAAAGTGTAGCTCGGTTTCATCTTTTGAGGGCTCTTCATTTCCAGGGCCTGCCCGTTTGACCGATCAGGCTGGTAACGGTGGAGCTTGATTAGTAAGCCCCCTCAAGGTCGTCACGGTTTGGGAAAGCCGGATTTTTTGGGGTCCCCTGAAACTCCCTCGGATGAATTCGGACCTGGCCAGTCCTCTCCGGTCCTTTCCTGTGTGGACTCCTGTCTTGCTAATAGGACTGCAACAGGAAAGCACAAGGACATTGCATTTACTAGTTTCCAGTTATTCGGGAGGCCTCGCCTTGAAGGGGGGGGGGTACCCTTTACGGCTAGTCAAACCTCGTTTCCTAAAACAACATGTTCTGGAATGGTAATTCTTGAGACTATGAAAGGAGTTAGCATTGGCAACAGTATTGGCAATAGCTTTGGCAATTTAACATTTGTGTTTTAGCAGTTTTTCTGAATTTTGGGGCGTCTTCAATCAGACGGGGTTCTGGGAGGTGAAAAAATGAGAGGATTTTTGTTGGCCAAACTTTGTGGGCGCCTTTGCAGTAGTATTCGCTGGCAGGCGGCTGGGAAAACCGTGCGTCTTTTAATCAGAGGGGGTTCACCAATCACGTTCTACCATTATGTGTGTTTGCTGCGCCGTTGCTGAGCCTTCATGTTCAAGATTCCGAGCTGAGGACAAGCTGAAAAAGCAGGCAGCTTGCTTGCACAAAGCTTTGGAGTGGATTCCTATCCCATTTAGTCAAGGTCAAGCCATGCATGCCGACACCTGGCACGTCAACCATAGCGATTGTCTGTGCTCAACACTTGGCTGCTCCTTGCTTTTCCAACGGCTTGGAAAATGATTGCTTTCCTGCTAGCTACCCCGCAAAGAACTGTTTCCTTGGGCGGAGAGGGGGGCAGGGGGGGGGGGGGGCGCAAAACTAACCGGGTCCAAACAGCACATGAAATTCAGGGCCTTTGAGGTGCTTGAGCTAGCGCACGTGACTTTATGAGGCGCGGGCCTAGATGATGCTGCTGAGCGTCCACTTTCTCTTGGCCAGGCTTTCGGCACAGCTCATAAACGCAAAGCGGTTTCAAGGAAAGACATGCGTGCCTGGCATGCCCGGCATGTAAGTCTGAGTGCCGAAAGACGGGCTTTCGATTACTAGATGCTTGCGACAAGCAGATTCCAGGATGGGCCACTGAAGGCAGCCGTGCCGACCAACCGACCAACCAGGCACATGGCGTTTCAGGTCCAGACTGGCCTCGGTGTCTCACTCTCGCAGGTGCCTGATCCCTGGGCACCCGCGGGCAACTTGTGGCGTCACCGCGCTCGCTCGCGCCAGGCTTGAGCAAGCGACGCGCGGCCATGCATCGTTGCACATGCTGCCCGCATAGCCGTATAGCCTGAATTCCTGGCAGTATGCAAAACCTTCTCAGTTGGTTCAGTTTCGGCTGAACGAGTCACTCCTTCAGGTTTCTTGATGGCCCGGCCGGGTTGGTGAACACAATCCACGTAGGCCTGACAAGTCAAGACGTATGGCGTGGGCAGTCAGGGACATGGCTTCACCATAGCGCTCCTCGGCATGGGCTTCCTTCCTAACTGGAGAGGAGCGCGGCCAACCATCCGTGGCAGCACTGAATTCAGAGCAAATAGGAGAAAAGCATCAGCCAATACGCAGGTGTCCGTCAAAGATCCCTGGTTTGGCACGTTAGCTTACTTTTAGAACCAGACAATTTGCCATGGTCATGTTTCAGCGAATCGGAATTTGGCTTCCCATTCTGTTGCCTGCATCTTACTTGAGGTGACTATTGCCACATTGCGAGGGCAGTCGTGAGACAACTTGTCAAGCAAGGCCATAAACTCGTCTCTTGCTGGAGGTCTTTTCTCGGGGTAGGGGCGAAGGGAATGGCTTTGGACATGAGGGGTTTGAAAAACGCTGAATGTTTGGCCAAGTTGCTCAGAACGACTTGCCACATGTTCGGCACTGCCCCAGCCTTTTGCAGTTAGTGCGGGAAGGGGTGGGGGATGTGTTGAATCATTTGCCAGGCCTTGAGATCGCTCTCGTGCTGGCCCTGGCCTGGTTGGGGTCTGGACTTGGTGGGGCTCGCTCGGTCTGAGGCTGGGGAGGCCAAACTTCTTGGGACTTGCGTTCGACAACGGGTCCAGGGATCCAAGAGGGAAATGCCCAGCACACGCTGCAGCTCTTTCTGCAAGCGCCATGAGCCCTGAACGAATGAAACTTGAAGGGGCCAGGGGCATGCAGAGATCCTCCCTCGCGTCCCGCTCGAGTCGCTCAAAGGCTGGAGTTCCGGTCGCGGCTACTTCAGCGCTTGCCCTTCGCCGCTGGCTTACCGGATTGCCATTTAGAATTTTCCGAGCCAACGGGATCCTGGTTAACTGTATAGTAGATCGCCAGGGGTGTTCTCCGTTATTGTTGAGCGGTTTCCCTTGATTCTCCATCATGGTAGTAGATTTGGCGTCCCAAAGTTCGTAGGGGCAGGCCAGCGCCATTTTGGCGATGAATCTGATTCTCCCCTCCGCTGGTTAATTCTGTGCAGCAAGCCCATGTACATGGCCTCTGCAAGGTGGATGACGCATTGCCAGCCGTGACCTCGGCTCCTTGCGAGTGGGTGAGCGTGCCCGAAAGTGGAGGAGATGTGCTTGCGGTCTTGACGTTTTTGGTGCTTGGGACTGGAAGGCTGGGCTCCTCCTGGCCCTGGTGAGCCTGGAAAGGACCAGCAATGAGATGTTGAGGCATCGATTTGCGCGAGGGTGCGACGCCTTGGCCTTGTCGGGACATTTTGCATGCTGCTTTCTCCGCTTGGGAGATGGTGTCGCACAATCGCGGCCAGGCTGAACCAACATGAACTGGCACAGCTGGCGCGCCGGGGAGCCTTGCTTTTGTCTCGAGTGGGCGTGGGCTGTTGTGGGCTTCTCGGCCTTCGCTTCTGTCTTCAACCAGCGCTTTCAACCTTTGCCAGTGCTGCCAGCTTCCATGTCCGAGACACTGACTTCAAACCACGGTCCAACAGCCCAGGCCTGGCAGTGTCCCGCGACCCGCTGCCGAGCCGGGCAGCCAGCAGGAGTGGTTTGGTCAAATGTCCGATTTCTTGTTACAATTCAGGGCCTTGCCCAGCTCCATCCGCAGTTGAAGCCCTCAGCCCACAAAGTCAGTTGAAACGGCAGATATCCTCCAAATGGCAATGGCTTCATGTTGGTGTCCGTTGGGAGTGGGCGAGAAGCGCCCGGAAAATGTTGAGGCAATCCGAAAAGGCTACTACCTGATCCACTTCGTTTAAACGCGTAGCCACTTGGGAGAGTCTTTGAGGCACAGCCCACTCTACGGAGCTGCTGCGGAGGATTTGCCAGGCACGAGCTGAAAGGACTTGGGGGCCTTGGGGTTCGCAATTGAACTGAGCAAGAGCAGAGGGCTGCATCGCAGCGTGGCAAAATCGAGCATGCTTGGATTTGGAAAGTACTTCAACAAGGGGAAAAACAGCATAGGCCGACTAGTCTGACAGTTCCTGGGCTCGTCTCAACCTGAGGCAATCCCCCCTGGTGCCTTTTCCCTTGAATTTGTGTTGAAGCAGTCCGAAAAAGAGCACTCTCAAACAAGACACGCCCGTGCCCGGTGAAATATACCACGTTGGGACATGTTCAAGCACATGCCCGCAGATTCATAGCGCATGTTGTGTGTGAAAATCCATTTTTGACATTCTAGCAACGACTCATTCTGGGACTCGCTGCATGTAATGCACCACCAGAGATATGGTTTGGAGCAAGTTGTGTGGGCTACAGGAATCGACCACGCGTGAAGGAAAGCGTTTGGATGGGATTCATGTCCACCATGGTTTCAACTGAAAATAATTCTTAGCCATTGACACGTTCATAACTCATGCGCTTGCCAGTTTCAGCGCGCGGGGCCCAGCCGTGCCAGGCGTACTATGCCGGGCAGCTGGCCCCCTTGCAGCTGACCAAGGAGGACGAGGCCGGAGCAAGCTCCCCTGGGGAAGCTGCTGCTGGTGGGGTGGGGGGAAGGGTGCCTTGGGTTTTTCTTTGAAGTGCGTTCAAAGCTTGGGTGCCACCTGCCCCAAAATTAAGCCATGATAATGATAATGATATTGTTGCAATCCCAGGGTATCATGCGGCCACAGAGCAATCCCACCCCATTTGCGCACGCGTGCCGCGTGAAATCCAATAGGAGCTGCTGCTGGCGCTGGCGCGCGGAGCCGAGGCCGGAAGCCCAGTTGCCCCAAAAGTGGGCCAGGTATCCAGAGGTTCTTCTAAAGATTCTATAACTTCTATATGTGACAATGTTTTGGGTTTCTATGCTGATCTGCAGCTATACCGTCGGATTTTCCAGAGTTTTCAAATGGTGTCCGTTCCTTCTGTGGCGCGGTGGCTTTCTGGTTTTCGCCGATTTGGAGTCAAGGTTCCGCAAGGTTCAGCTTTTGTATCTAGGTCCTTTGAGAGCTCAGGTTGCAGCCCTTGGGTCAGAGGTGTGCGGCTCAGTTGGGAAAAAAAGCGGGAGGGAGGGGTGGGGGCGCTGGGTTCGCGAGTGCCCCGCATCCCAGGCCAACCTGGCGGCTTTGGGCGCCAAGCGAATTGCCACCGAGGCGATTGCACCAGCCGACTCTGGACCTTCCTGAGCACAACGAGTTCATGAGTTTGACCCTAGGGGGTATCAATCTTGGTTTCCTTTAACCTTCCACTTGGCAACATGAAATGCCCGCTCCCTGGTGCTACCAGGTCTCCAAGCGCTTGGCCTTTGGTTGGCGCCTCAAGTGGGTTCGCCAGAGCAGCAACAACTTTGATTGGATGTCGTGGTTGGATGCCAGAATCGGATCTTTTTGGATCCAGCCGAGGCTTGGGAAAGGAGCTGCAGTTGAACTTGGCCCCTGGCGTGGAAGCTGGGCTTTGGGGGGTAGGGCAGGGCCGGTCATCTTCAGCAGGATCCCAGCAGTTTTGTGGCCCTGTCTGAACTCGGGGGTGGCTGACCAGCTAGCAATTTGACACTGGGAGGCGCCATGGCAAGGGTGGCTTCCTTTGCCTCTGCGAGGCAATGCCCTGGCACTGATCTCAGAGCGCGTTGGCGGTGCGAGATTTCGTGCGCTGCCCGAAAAGAGGCTCTTTGTCCCCGGCGAAAAGGGGCCACATGATATGAACGCTGGATTTTTTTGATTGGGAACTCTGGATTGATCAGCCAGGAGTGCACTGAAGTGGAAGCATCCCAAAGTGCCTCTCAAGTCTACCAAAGGTCCATCAATCCGGGTTCGACGGTGGCCGCACTCGGCTCAGGTTTTGCGGAAGATCGCCGAGGTGCGAAGGGTGAAGTGCCGTATGTGCCATGGTCAGAACACCCTTTCATGTTTTCTGGTTGGTAGGGTTTGTCTTGGATCCTTTGGGATATACGGTCGGGGGTTTGGCAGTCAGCTGGACCCTCTTTAGGGAAATGCTGGGCGTCTCAGAGAAACAGTGCTTGCTTTAGTATTGCCAATTCTACTTTAGTATTGCCAAGGCCCGGTTTTTTCAGCAACCCCCCAAAAAGTTTGACCCTAAAGAGGTCCCCAAAACAGTCACATTAAACAGGATCAGGGTCTCTTGTAGGCAACCAACCCCGTTTGTGCGAATGTTTGCCCTTACTTTTTTGTAAAGAAGCAATCTTAGATTTGATGGTTTGGGTACCACTGGCAAAATGGACTTCCTTGACCCAAGGTCTTTAGCCCGTTGAGCTGGGAAGAGCTTGGGTCAACCATCCTTGTAATGTAAAAGCCTATTTAGTTCGAGAGTTTCAGAAACCCCTGGAAAATAGTTGGACACCAAAGGGAACCCCAATTCAGTCACAATGAGGATCTGGGCTTCTTGTGGGCAACTCCCTTTGTGTCACTGTTGCCCTTACTTTCTTGTAAAGAAGTTATCTTAAGTTTGATGGCTTGGGAACCACTTCAAAAAGGATTTCTTAATGTTTGCCCGGATTTGTTTGCCCGTTTTGTATGAGACATTTTCGGCCAGTAGTTTTTTCCCGGAATATGTTGCCGGCATTTCTTCCGGCAAAATACTTGCCACAATAG